TTTGGCGATTTGATCGCGCGGATAAGTCCTTAGGATGTTTTTGAGGTTGTGTGTATATTTGGTTTGGAGCCCCGAGGACTCGGGTGAGTTTCGGGTAGGCGTCGGAGTGCATTTTTAACTTAGGAAAAATCTAGTATGAACAGGCCTGCAGGCTTCGCATTTGCGAAGCCTGGTCCGCAAATGCGAACTCGCAAATGCGAAGGCTAGTTCGCAGATGCGAAACCAGCCCAGGCCTGCCTATGATCGCAAATGCGAGTATATTCTTCGCAAATGCGAAGTTCCAAGTTTCGCAAATGCGAGACCAAGTTCGCAAATGTGAAGGTCTCCTGTAAGGCCAGGCTTCGCAAATGCGAAGCAGAGGTCGCAATTCCCATAATTTGGTCGGGGTTCGCAAGTTCGCAAATGCGACATCAGAGACCCAGCAATTTCATACTTAGTCGAATTTTAAGTCATTTTCACCCCACTTTCAAAATACAACTCCTTAGGCGATTTTTCAAGAACAAGTTTCATCCCAAATCATTTGTAAGTCGATTTTTACTTAACTCTTTCAATCATTAACATCATTTAACATGTTTTCAACTTAAAATCGATGATTTTCATGGGAGAAAATTGGAGGTTTTGGGTAGAACCTAGGTTTTCTATAAATTGGGGATTTGGACCTCAATTTGAGGTCCAATTTCAAAAAAAATTACATATTTGAGTTCGTGGGGGAATGGTTAACCGGGTTTTGGTTCGAACTTCGGGTTTTGACCACGTGGGCCTGGGGGCGATTTTGGAATTTTTGGGGAAAGACTTGGGAAATTCATTTTTATGCATTCAAATTGATTCATTTAGTGTTTATTAAAGTAATTGAGCAATTTGTGACTAGACTCGAGCGGATTGGAGGTGGAATCGCGGGGTAAAGCGATAGTTGAGGTTTGAGTGGAATTCAAGGAATCGAGGTAAGTGTTTGGTTTAACCCTAGCTTGAGGGATTAGGAGTTGAGTCATAATTGCTACTTGATTGTGTTGGGTACGGCGTATGGGCATGGTGACGAGTATCCATGCGTCGGTGTCAAGCATGACCGTGAGTCTTAATTTGATAATTGTGTACCCTTGTTTAATCGTATGAATGTTGTGATTAAATATTGGTATTAGTTGTGCCAGGAAAAAGTTGAAAAGGATTGGTTATAGCTGACTCTCCCTTGTCGGGATGTTTGACTTGTTGTTATAGTTCCCTTGCCGGGAAAGAGTATTAATTTGATTGTTCCCTTGCCGGGATTGTATTGTGTATTGTGTTGAAAGTAAAGGGAGCGGGTGGTACGCCTACCACAAGTGATATTAAAAGTGGGAACGGGTGGTACGCCTACCACAAGTGATATTAAAATGGGAACGGGTGGTACGCCTACCACAAATGATATATTGAAATGGGAGCGAGTGGTATGCCTACCACAAATGATATTGAAATGGGAGCGAGTGGTACGCCTACAACAAATGATACATTGAAATGGGAGCGAGTGGTACGCCTACCACAAATGATATATTGAAATGGGAGCGAGTGGTACGCCTACCACAAAATGATATATTGTCATGAGAGCGGGTGATACGCCTACCACGAGTGATACCAAAATGGGAGCGGGTGGTACGCCCACCACGAGTGACATTGAAATGGGAGCGGGTAGTACGCCTAACACGAGATATTGAGAAATGGGATCGGGTTGCACGCCTGCAACAAGATGAGTTGAATATGAAAGTTGTTACTGTAGATGTACGTACCATTATTCCTGATATTTTGACTCTATCTGTTACCCTGAAGCATGCTCCCTTCCCCAGCTTAAATTATTATTTTCTTGCTATTTTTTCGTTGTACTTGTATATATATATCTGCACAGGTTTATCTGGAGTCTGGTCCTAGCCTCGTCACTACCTCGTCGGGGTTAGGCCAGACACTTACCAGCACAAGGGGTCGGTTGTGCTGATGCTACACTCTGTGCTATTTGCACAGGTCCAGGTTTCGAGTAGCAGCAACAGCATTTGTACAGGAGTAGGCCTTCAGTCCGGTGAGACCCGAGGTAGCCTTGCATGCGTCCGCAAGCCCGGCGTCTCCCTTATTCTCTCTTTTTAGCCTGTTGCCTCATTGTATTCGAGACAAACAGCTTATGTTTTCTTTCAGACGTTTGTGTTTAGTATTCCTTAGCCGTTCGTGTGTATTGTGACACCAGTCTTGGGTAGAGGATTATATTGACTATTCTGCATGTTGATTCAGTTTCTATAATTAAGACTTCCGCTACTATTTAATTTCATCATTTTTATATTGTTGCCATGAATTGTTAAAAGGGATTATGTTGTAAACGGAAAGTAATTAATAATTTGGCTTGCCTAGCTTCTACGAGTAGGCGCCATCACGACTCTCGAGGGTGGAAAATTCGGGTCGTGACACATTCACTACGAAGGCGGCGTACAAAATTGTTAAAAACCAATCGAAAGAAGAAGGAAACTGGATAGATTTTTCTTGGCTGTGGAAGCTAGACACCCTAAACAAAATTAAGACCTTCTTATGGACAGTTGTCCACAATAGGTTACCTACCTCCAAAATGCTTTACAATAGAAAAATCACTAACTTCAGTACTTGTAATATCTGCCAAAATGAAGAAGAAGACATGGATTACATGTTCTTCAACTGCCTACACTCAAAACCTATTTAGGATCAACTGGGAAGTTCTTATAAATACCCGGATCAGCCACGCAACGAGCTCACTATGCATAACTGGTTAAAACCTCTTTGTCACACAAAATCCTCTTACAACAGATACTTAACTAAGGCGGATATCCTGCCCTTTACTCTTTGGCATATTTGGATTCATAGGAACAATTTCATTTTTAACAACAATAAATCCCCCCTCTCCTTAAAAAATATCGTTAAAAGTGCAACAGAGTTTAAATTATTAACAGAGTCTATCCAGAGTCCTAACCCCACGACTACCATCTACATAAAATGGAAGCCTCCTGATCAGGGAACATTTAAACTAAACATAGATGGCTCTAGCTTAGGTAACCCCGGGATGGGTGGCATTGGAGGAGTTATCAGAGACTGTGATAGTAACTGGATTATAGGCTTTAACATGTCCATTCCTCACGCTACCAACATATACATGGAAGGCCTCGCCCTTATTCATGGTCTAAAAATAGCTATACAACAAAATATTAGGCGATTAGTGGTTGAAACAGACTGCAGTGCTCTAGTTAACATGCTTACTAACGATAATGGTCTGTATCAAAATTTGATTACTAATTGCAGATGGATGCTTAATAGAGCAGGAGAGCCACAGGTCACTCACATCTTTAGAGAAGCAAATGGAGTGGCTGATATTATGGCAAAAAATGGAAGCAACTCGAACTTTTTTGGAAATCCTATGTTGTACTTTTCCCCGCCCCCCTTTGTTGTTTCTACTTTTGAACTGGATAAGCTAGGAACTTTGTGTCCTAGAAAAGTCCCAATTTATAATAACATTTAAACAAGACGGAATAAATTTCTTCATTACAAAAAAAAAAAGTATGTACATTAAGAGGGAGATATGAATATATTTAGAATAAGAAAGAAAATAACGCATTTAAAGTGAAGGATTTGCACAATAGGAATATGGAATATTCTTGATAATACACACAAAACACTCCCATTTTCATTTTAAAATGTGATATTAAAAATGGAAAATTTACAGAATAGCAATTTTGCATTTCCCATTTTTTTATTTAAAAAAAATTCTCCCTTCTTTCCTTCTTCTTTCATATCATATCCGTTACTTACTTACTTAACTTTAAATTTGATCATAATCCCATTATTAAAAATTTATGCCAACAAATTCCATAAAATAAGCTACTTTCTTTTTTATGGTTCACACTTACCATTTGGAAATCTCATCATTTCTCTATAAATTCATAGAAGAGTTCATCACCAATACACAAAAATACATAAACTCATATATAGCTTGTTGAAGATTTTAAGGTTCTTATTTGACACGTCCTTTTTATTCTGTCTAAGTATTTTTTATCACTAATATACATGTATTTAGCAGTCGCTGATAAAAATAATTTTAATGAATTCAGAGTATGTTGATTCATCAAAGAACTATTCTACAAATTTTGCTGGTATTATATTTTCTTCTGAATTATGACAAAGTTCAAGGAGAAACGAAGCTGTCCAAACTTGAGGAATTGGCGTTGGAGAAGCAACTTAAACGTTTAAACAAACCATCAGTCAAAACAATTAAGGTATGTGTTTTTGGTATAGTTTCTATGCGAATATCACTTTTGTATTAAAAAATAAATAAAGGCAATACCCTTCCATCTCATATATCCATGATGATTTTTAACAATCACCTTAAAGTTGGTATACTGAATTTACCATTTTTTTCGTATTTTATGTTGTAGTTGAAAATCGTAAAAGTTCTAAATTAAAACTTTTGAAATGTTCACTAATTTGATGTCACATTTTATCAAGAAAACTAAGGCACAATAACTCCTCTGACAAAAGCCAATATATATATTCATTTTGAAAGTTAGATATGATAAAGTACTAGACAGATGAAGCAGATTATCATTTACCAACCATTTTATTCTACGTCATTTTTATGTATTCACAAGTTACATTTCCATAGCATCATGTTGAATACACTAATAATAAAATAAGAATTAGTGACGGACAACTTCTCTAGCTAAACAATGAAATCCGTCGCTAATGGTAATAGATTATCAAAATATTCTACTATCTACGAGCGATTTAGCAATAGATTAACGACGAAGTTCATAGCTAATTCCAGTATTTTTTGTAGTGATACTGCAACCAAGATTACTAATAAGTTTATGAAATTTTTGCTTCACAGACTAAATGGGGTGACACATACGACTGTGTGGATTTTTACAAACAGCCTGCATTTGATCATCCATCATTGAAGAATCACAATTTTCATCCCGAGGCATGTATTTACACTTTCTTTTTGTGTATTCAAATTTATACAAATGTAGTATATATTGTGAATAGAAAAATTAAAACAAGTTTTGGTTGACAGATGAAACCTACTTTATCAACGACAAAGCAAATTCCAAGTGCTTCAAATGTTGATATATCTTCGAAGATATGGTCAGAGAATGAAGGTTGTCCTTCTGGAACTGTTCCCGTCAAAAGAGTTACCAAAGATGATCTTATTAGACAAAGACGTATACCGCCGCCAGAAGATTTAACATTGGAATCTCATTTAGAGGATGTAAGATTATATACTACATCAATTTATAGCTATCTTGATTGTTCATTTCTGGAAAACATAATAGATAATGCTTGTTATACCTATTTATTTCATTTTACAATTATAAAAAGGAGAAAATACTTCATGTATAAATCTAACATATTTTTTTTTTTTACTGTTTTGTGCAGACTAACCACATTTTGGAGGAAACTGGAGGATACAAGGTACATGAATATGATATTAAATAGTTTTTTCTTCATTTTTGTGTGTTATATTTTGCTTTTTGAACTGAATAAACATAATGTTAACTTGGATAGTATATGTAATGAGTAAAAGAAATTTTTTATCTTTTATATTCAGCGTGCAATTGTTCATACTCCAAGTGATCCAAATAACAAGTTTGCGGGAGCTGCAATGGTAGCTAGTATATGGAATCCTTCTGTTGAAGGTCAACAAAGTAGTGCGTGTCGATTGAAGATTCAAAAAGGACAAGATAGTATGCAAGTTGGTTGGAGAGTACGTTTAACTCGTTATTTTAATAATTTAATTATATTATCTTACTTGCAATATTTTCAAAATTTTAGAGGACATATATAGGAAAGGAAAATAGAAGGGAGGATGAGATGGGGATTGAATTTTATACCTCTAGGGTCTCCATCATTGAACCCTTTAATAATTATAATTGTTCTATTTCTTGTTTTAGGTGGATCCAACACTATATGGGAATAATCATACAAAGTTTTTTATACATTTCCAAGTAAGTTTCCTTGTGTTCATAAAACTAGTATCTTTCAATTTAAATGTTCACCACAATAGATAATGATTGTTCTTGAAATTTTAAATATCTTTTAGGCTGGAAATACACATTGCTTCAACACATTATGTCCTGGTTTTGTATTAGTAAACAGTGACATATATCTTGATGCTGAATTCGACCATATTTCTCGCCGAGGGGATGAAACACAATGGGAGATTTTTTTGTACATTGATCGGGTAAAATTTATATATCTTTTTATCTACTTTATTAAGTTTTTCTATAATCGCTTTTTAAAAATGCTCACATACATTTCCTTCTGAAAACTAAAGGATATAGCAAACGGAAACTGGTGGCTTTTAATAGGAGAAAATCAGACAGCAGTTGGATTTTGGCCTCCAGGGATTTTTACCGCATTATCAAACGACTTTGCTACGAATATTGAGTGGGGTGGAGTGGCATATACTCCGCCAGGTGTACCATATCCTCCAATGGGGACTGGATTTTTTCCTGCAGTTCCAAATCCTACACTCGATGCTTATTGTAGGGGACTTATAGTTTTTAATAATAAAGGCGAGACGATAAATGCAGAAAAAACACCCATATTTCTTGACAATCCAATATTGTATCGGGTCATTGATGAACCACATGGAGGACCTGAAAATTTTCCACATTATATGTTTTATGGGGGACCAGATGATACACATATGTAGAATTATTGTAATTATGATTTATCTTTGCAAAATTCTATTTAATCATGTTCATTAATTTGCGGTTGATAAAATCACAATCATCCAACCTCTTTATGGAAGTTTAGTGCTTCAACTCTTAAATTAAATTTATATGTATAGGTGATCATATATTAACCCAAATAGTCACCTACCTAATGACTTGTACTAAAAATAATTGGTGGAGGTATAATATATGCATAATTATGTATTTTATGTGTATAATTGCATATAATCAATGTATAATATATATATATATATATATATATATGGGTAGAAAAAGTAAACAATGAATATGACCGACTATTTGTGTAAAGATCTCATTAATATGTTGTTACCATACCAAAAAAAATCCAGAAATGTACACTATATTATTGAAAAAGTGAACCCCAAACAATTCGAACAGTTATAGAGTTTTAGTAATCCAAGTCAAAATTACCACACAAACATATTAGGCGACCACTGGTCCATTTTTATATTCATTTGGAACTGGACCTAATTAAGTTGCCAAATATATAGTATAACAACTTTAACCAAGTTTTACATGACTTCATTGTAATGTATATAATATCTAGAATGGCTCATTTCAATAGTTTAGTTGATAATACTTCACTTCTATTACAATGGTTTGATTGGATATAAAACTTCTAGGTAATCTTATAAAATAAAATTTTAAAAAAAAAGGCCAATAACCTGTTTTTTAGTTGAAAAAAAACGATTTGGATATTCGTCCATTACAAGAGAAGATACAATTAAAGACGCCATGGTATTAAGAAAAAATGAGGAGAAAAGTTAAGAGAAAATGAAAATGGAAAATCCTGTCGATCAGAATTAGAAAGTCTGTAATTCCTTCATACGAAAACAACAATATTCGAAATTACCAGATCTTTCTTGCCTTGATCATGTGAAGAAAAGGCAATTGCCTTAATTAATTAGACTTAGATTTAAGACAATTGGCCCTAGAGTGGTAGGCTTATTATTTCCTCGCGTATAGTGCTCCGTAGTAGACGACATAAGATTGGCCATATACTACATGCCATGTAAGCTTATCGAATTTCGAAAAAACGAGTACACATCTTACCATGCAGTCATGTATCACTATGACTGCACGCATATTAACCTGGATGGCTAGAAATATCACTAGTCGTCTAGGTTATTATGTAGCCATGTTCATATACATGACTGCATGGTCGATCCGCATATTCTCGTTTTGATCAAAATCGAACAAGCACATGTGGGGAATCATATACGTAGTATCGACAAAAACCTTTTCATCGTCCAATACAGTACTAACGCCGAGGACTATATGCCTACCCCTCTAGGACCAAGGTCTTAAATCTGAGTCTAGTACTTTACAGTACCAGGCAACCTGAGAAGTAAGAAGAATTGAGTAATTAAGGAAGAAGTAGGAAGTTAGAGGAAGAGAGAAAATGAAGAAGATTGTTTAAGTTGTTTATTCTCTTAAATACACATGCATTATATATATAGGCAAACTTATTTCAGCATCTTCACATTGTAACCAATTAGAATTCAGAACTAACTCAAATAAAAAAAGTTAAAATTTAAAAAGAGTTTGTTACTTGAACGTAATTCAATTTACTTAAAAATGCAAATTGGATCACGGATTAGTGTTTCTTTATATCGTTGGCATATAGTCTATAAGTCTAATTGAGGCCTCATTTGTTTTTTTTTTTTTAAGATTAAGACATCTGAATTTGAATACACATCTGAATATATTAAGATGTGTATTAAGATCCGAATACTAAATAATTAAGACTGCTTAACATCTGAAAGTATAAAATTTATCTTTATTTGAAAATTAATAAACAAAAAATTCAAATGAAATACTAACTAAACTAATATTCTATCAATAACATATATAGTTTTTAAAAATATGATAGTTGTTGGTGGTGATGGCTAATGAGTGAATGCCGATTAGAGGCAGTGGTTGGTGGTACGTTGATGATGGTGGTTCATGCTAGTAGCTAGTAGTGATTGGTAGTGGTGGCGATTATGATTGAGGATGGTGGTGGTGGGTGGTGATAGTTAATAATGACGAGTGGTGGTAGTAATTATGATTGAGGAAGGTGGTGGACGGGTGGTGGTAGGTTATAATGATGGGCGGTGCATGCCGGTTGTGGTTGTTGATGGTGATGGGGTGGTTAGTTGTGGTAGTTGAGGTGGATGAGTGTTGATTGTGGGTGAGAATGATGGTGGTCGGAGTGGTAGGGATGGTGGGTGGCGATGGTCGATAATGGTGGCGGCTATGATTGAGGATGATAGTTTGGTGGTGGTGGTGGTTGAGTATGGTGGCAGCGGCGACATGGTGGTAGTTGATAATGGTAGGCGATGGCGGCAATTAATAATGAATATGTGATAGCATCTTAATGAAATTAAGTCTCTATTATAGATTTAATCATATAGACCTATTCAGACCCATTAAGTGATTGTGAAGTCAAAAAAATAAACACATTTAATGATTAAGATCTGAATAATTAAGATTCAGACTTTAAAAACAAACACACTTAATATCTGATATCTAAATAATTAAGATAAAGACCTCCATTAAGTGCAAACAAAAGAGACCTGAGTCAAGTTTCTTCAACTCCAGATACTACCTACAATTACGCAAAACCGTATATACTTCAACAATTTTCCCAAATTAAACTAACTACTTTTGCATTTAGGGGAATATATCAGTGTCAGTTAATTGTCATCCTTGTAAATTTGGGGCTGAAAACTTTTGAGTTGGCATCTTCTTTGTTTGTCTTTAAATCTTGTTGAGTACAAGTTGCGGTTGTTATTTAATTGGTAGATAAGAATGTGCTTTCTTTTTTCCTCTTCACCTTATCTTCACTGATTGTCCTTATTTTATTATCATTTTTGGATAACGATCATGACATGATTGTATGCAGGGGCGGATCTAATCTTAAGAGTTAAGCCTATAGGTTCCAATGAACCTAGTAGCTTTTGTCTAAATTCTGTACTTTGTATTTAAAACATAGTAAATATTTATAAATATTTGATTATAAGCTCAGTTATTAATATATATATAATTCAAGGTTATTGTAGGAACCCATAAACTTTAATTCTTGTATTCGCTATATTCATCAAGCTAAATGTCAGTTTTCTTTGTTGTCCAACGAATTAGTCAATTAAAGAAACCAAGAATCGTGCACGGTGGAGTCATTCCTTTTTAGATAATACACTAATTATGGTAGAGGGTAATAAAATAGTAAAGAACAATATTCCACTTAATATGTATATTGCAGTGTCAACTATCAACCGTTAAATTTACAATTCATTTTTTTTTTATGTTTATTTTTTGTCATATAATGTAAAATTCTCTATTGTTTTATCGGAGATGTTTGGTCTGTGGCATTGAATTTACTGGTGTAGCATAATGGGTTTCTAGTTGTACCTTGTTTCTGCACGATGTAGGCTTTCAAGCTTATTGGGCTCAGAAATGAAAACCTTAGGCCCGTTAAGTAAAATGGGCCTACAATTTAGGCCCGTGGACTTTTAATGGTCAATGTGTATTCATCATATGGGATGAATTGGTTGAAGAAAATACAGTAAAAATTGTGTGGGGTAACCACTTTTTAAAGTGGTATTTATTTTTTATCCAGTATTTTCAATGTTTAGCAATAACAGCCACTAGTCTATTAAAATTAATATAAAAAGACTGTGTTACCCTTTCTTCTATCTCCTTCATGTTAGGGAGAAGAACTGTGCCTCCGTCTGTGAGACGGCGACTGCCGTGGCTAACCGTGCACTTCCCCCACCCAAAGCTCAACGGTTCATTGACTCTATCACCAACACCCACATTGCATCTTAGCATCAACACGGCAATGGGTTATGTAATTGCACGAACTGACAAATTACACTAACAAATTGCACAAACGAACGAAATGCTAAAATACGCCACTTCTGCTCTCCTCGTGTCATTTTCACCTCACAGTAAAATTTATGTATGTATGTATACAACATTTGTGGAGAGAGAAACGCTAAATTTCACACTCTTCAGTCAATTTCAGTGTACATGTACATTTGTGAAGTAGAAATGCTAAAATACACCATTGCAACTGCAACCTATACATACACCATTTTTGTATCTATACATTGACCTACAGATACAAGTGTGTACCTCTACATTTGGATCCTAAACTTACAGTTACAAGTTCAAAAGTTAAGGATACTTGGTCCTGAACTTCGAGTTCCAAGTTCAAAAGTTAAGGACACTTGGTCTTGAAGTTAGAATTACATGTTCAAAAGTTAAGGACACTTGGTCCTGAACTTCAAGTTCCAAGTTCAAAATTTAAGGACACTTGGTCCTGAACTTAGAATTACAAGTCCAAAAGTTAAGGACACTTGGTCCTGAACTTAGACTAACAAGCTCAAATGTTAAGGACAATAGGTCCTGAACTTAGACTAACAAGCTCAAATGTTAAGGACAATTGGTCCTGAACTTATAGTTACAAGTTCAAAAGTTAAGGACAATAGGTCCTGAAGTCCTGAACTTAGACTAACAATCTCAAAAGTTAAGGACAATAGGTCCTGAACTTAGGATAAGAAGCCCAAAAGTTAAGGACAATAGGTCCTGAACTTATAGTTACAAGTTCAAAAGTTAAGGACAATAGATCCTGAAGTCCTGAACTTAGGTAAAGAAGCCCAAAAGTTAAGTACAATAGGTCCTGAACTTAGACTAACAAGCTCAAAAGTTAAGGACACTTGGTCCTGAACTTACAGTTACAAGTTCAAAAGTTAAGGACATGTAGTCCTGAAGTCCTGAAGTTAAGTTCCAAGTTCAAAAGTTAAGGACATGTAGTCTTGAAGTTAAGTTCAAAAGTTAAGGACATGAGCAGAAGGGTATTTTCGTCCGGGCAGTTAAAGTTTATTAAAGTAGTGGCTAAAGACTAAAGACATTTTAAACAGTGGCTTAAAAGTAAATACTACATGTGTTATTAGTGGCTAACCGTGCACTTTCCCCCGAAAACACATGTATTCTAACGCACAACGAATACAACCAAAGCGAATACAGAAATATAAAAAAATAAATTGCTCTTGCTGAGAGTCAAACTCAAGACCTCTA